TTGCACCCTCTCAGATCGGGCCTGGGTGCTCTTCCCGTGGTGCAAGTAATGCCCCGCTTGCCTTACCGTGCTCCACAACATGCCTAAAAAAACCCCCCCACTATATGATTTTTTACACAAACCCCCATCGATCTTCTTTCAAACGCGCCCCAGGAATCCATCTCAAACACTTAGGTATTTTAGTGGATCTCCCATCCCATCCAATGTGACTTATACAACCTGACCCTATCGGGAAGTCATTTATAACTGCCACACCCACACATACACTTTTTTGTAACCGGTTTGTTCCCTTAGACATGCCCTTCCAGGTAATGGGACCCAAAGCCATTAATCTATTATTACTGGGGACTACTATAGTAATACAAACACAGTCAATCGCCAACCAAACAACTATATTAAGGAATTTTTATTATAGATTTATTTATTCGAATAGCAGTGATTCTCTTTTTGACCATAGAATTTAATGCCCACTAAATGTCCGATGTTAAGGTTATTGGTGAGGCATTAATGCAGGCCGGCAGTGGAGGACTTCCCAGGGACTTTCCAGTCTGTATGAAAGGTGTCATGGTCTTTCCAAGCTTACCTTAGATGCAGCCTTGGCTTTATTATGTTCTAGGGAGGTGAAATAAAATATATTTAGCAATATACACTCCCAGGGTTAGGACCAAGCAGCCTGGCTTAATCCCCCACTGGTACACTTCCAGAGAGGGCACTGCCACTACCATGGTGTGTAGCATATGGATGAATGGTTGAAGGTTCTACGCTTGAAGTTTCTTTTAGCCCCGTCGTTGTGAGAGGATTTCTACTGTCTACCTGTCGCACAGAAAATAAAAAATTCAAGTGGCCTTTAGGGGAAAAAAATCATACAAATTTTAATTAAATATCATACTTACCTTCAGGCTCAATTTGTATCTGGTCGGAGGCTCTTTCCTTCGATTCCGTCACTCTTCCTGCTCCATTGCCATCAAAACTTTGCTGATTTTGGCAGGCTTCCTGTGCAGTCCCTCTGGTAGTCTGTAAATATTCGCCTGTGGATGCGAAAAATGTCATCGGGCCAACGAGGAAGTTGGCAAGTATGTCCATATCCTTTCTCTATCATATTGAGAACAGTAGGGACATAGTCGCTCTGTGCATTTAACAGTTTGTTGCGGATAGCATCTCTGATGCACCGCACCCAATCTTTGGCTACCTGGCGTAGGGAGTCTGATCCCCTGATTGTGCTGTCTGTCGCCCGGGCGGGTAAAGGATGTAACGGGGTTATGGTCAGAGATGGAACAGGCCCTTCTGATATACCTCCCCCACCCAGCACTCCCACCGAAGCAAACTTATCAGGTGATCAAAGAATCCGGGGCCTTTCCGCCTTCCATTCCTTCCTAATTGCAATTGCGTTGATGAAAATGCTGACACATCTTTTTCTCATCGTTGGGACAGTCCCAGAGCAATGTCAGACTGGATCCCGTCTTACTTCTTAAGGTAAAGCGCTGTAGTGGCTCTTTGAAACCTCACCCTTCCCTTCTTCCGATAGAAAATAATGACCTCACAAAGAGTCAAAACTGCCAGTTCTAGGACACATGCTTAGACGTTGGGCTCCTACTTATTCGGGTTTTGACATATTCAGGTCGACATACCTAATATGTTGCATGATGGCTCTAACGTCCTCCAGTCAGACGGGAGCAGGCTCGGTGTGTTCCACTTGGCTTGCGGAGGGTCTGTAGGGCAGCAGAAGAAAACAAGAGTTCCCACTCTTCTCAAAAAGCAGGGCTTCGTATGGTGGTTTTTACATAAATAGATTCATCAACACAATGCTCCTATTTTGACGTCACCAATCAGGAAATTGCTAGTTTCGAGGCTATGGCCGAGTTTGAGGGCCCAAGGATGGAGTCTTGTATTGATTTGTTTCCTCATCTTCTACAGCCACAGACCTGACTGATCAATCACATGGTTAAATTTGGAGGAATAAAGAGAAAGCAATAAAATTGTTTTCGTTTCCTGCAGTTTTAGCTTCGTTAAATAAACCTACGACATCTTCTAATTTTTTGCCTAATGTATCATGCTTAGACTTATCATGCCCGAGTTTTAAGTAAGGTGCTCTCAAGTCTCAGATTACCCTTTTCTGCTTACAACCCACACGTTACTCCACTGATGCTTTGCCGGAAAATTAAAGACCACCAGCTTTTTGAGGATGCCCCCTCGTAAAGGCTTGGGCAAGGGAGCAGAGGGACAGGACCTTTACTTATACCAGCACTTAAACAAAAAGACTGTAAAATTCCAGAAACACTCTGAGAACTCCCTACAGATAGTTATGGACCACCCAAACAACACCCCAGGACTTTTTGTTTTAAATCACATACAATAAATGTAAACAATTTAAACACATAAATATGTAGAGATTACAGGAACGAGATGCCCTTTTAAATCAAATAATATTTGTAAAAATACATCTGTACGGTAATTAAACCGGTACATATTAAAACAACCCAAAAACGACACCTTAATAGTTTGAACATTACATTAATATTTGTAAGAAAATTACATTATATTTGCCAGTAATACAAAAGCATACCAGCTGGTAAGTTACTTTTACATTTTTTGGGTTGGATACTTGTTCAACCTGTCTGTTTACACATAGAGAACCATTTAGATCACCTATTTTCACTACGGGTTTTTGTATATAATTTTACCTGCAGGCATATATGGAGTGATCCCTTTGAATACAGAAGATTCCCTCTTCACAATATGATGGAACCAAAGCACCTCGTACCAACCCTCCCAGCTATTTTTTAACTAACAGCTCTAAACTAAAGTCTTTATTATTTATCAAGTCATGCAATAACTCACAAGCCGGAATGCTATACTCAATTTGCACATTTTGCCATTAGTATTCATAGGTCCACTCAAACATTAAAACCCCATGACATGTAGTTTTCAGAATAGAAAAATACATAATTATTCTTATTTTATTCATTTAACTTAACCCGAGAATCCCTCAAGTATCTCCCCTTTACTCAACGTAGAAAGTTTTGTGACATGTGTATATTTCCCAACTATACCCAATTCCTGCATTATCTATTTAGATTGTATACCAGTAACTGTTGGCTTACAATCAGCATGAGAAATCACTCTCTGCTCCCTCGCACCCCATTCCCGATCTCCACTTCATCCCAGACTCTGAAAACGCATACCCACGATCCAGTGTACTACATAGCACCCCAGATGCTCTCATTACGCTTTACTCCTGCAAACATTATAATTCTACTAACCAAATATCTATTTTTACCGATAGAATTATTCTCCTAATCTATAAATCCTTAAAGCAATATCCAAAAAAAACGTCACTTTATTACTTTTTATACCTCAATCTTTTTTTACTCAATCTCGGATTATTCACTCACTATCCAACCTACCTCATTATAACCCCAGTAAATACAACAATCCAAATCTCTTCCATATCTACTACAATACAACCATTCATAAACGCCATTAATCATGATCTACAATAATAATACATCCATAATTCCCTCGTACACAATCCTTATAACCATATCATCTTACCCTAAATTGTAACCACTTTTTATTTTTAAAATATAAGATTCCCACCAAGTAATACAACCATATCCAACGAACTCATCAATATATTTCCCCTTTATCTCTCCAATCCAAATACCAATAAATCTATTACCTAGTCCAATACAATTGCGCTGTACCATGTTTTCCTCCATAATTCCCCTGTAAAAATCGCTGTATTATTCCAAATAAAATTCCATTTTATGATGGTGCATTTCTTGTGTCTTGTACCAGTATAAATTGCTTCCCCCACTCAAACCCACACCACCCACCAAACCCAATAACCATCTACCTCTTATACTAAAGCAACTTCTATATATCCCCATCATTAAATTTCCATACACTAACTATATCAAACATACACACCCACTCCTCCCAATACTACACCCAAATTCCTTTCCACATCCCCACCTAATATCCCCCTTATCCCCATATCACCCCCATAACCCAACCTTCACACACATTCACACACCCTACAAACATATAACCCCCCTCTCTTCCCATATCTAATCCAACTTCAAAAAACCTAACAACAAACTAACCCCTATTATCAAACCCCCATCAATAAACATAACCCCTCAACCCCCATTCCCCAAACCCCCCCCCCACACATTTACCCTACCCCCCCCTACCCCTAACCCCAAGTACACATCCCTCATTCCCCCCCCTACACACAAAAAAAAACCCCCCCCCAACCCCCCACACAATCCCCCCCCACAACCTCACACACTATAAACCCACATACCCACTACCCATTACAAACCAGACAAAACCCAACACCCCAACATTCCAAACCATCTTTCCCCACATTCACCCCTCCCACAAATCTTACACCCCTCACAACCATCCCCTTACCCCCCCCCCCCATCTGCGCAATTGATTTCCCTCCTACAGCTTATCCCCGCACCATAACATTAATCATCAAATCCGCATTACCACTCCCATACCCCTCTATTCTCCACCTTATAACTAATATTCACCCAGCCAATAACTACCAATAAATACATAAACCCCCCAATATCCAGTCACTCATAACCGTCCATACTAAATATACTATACCCACTTGATTAAATATTAAAAATAATTCATCTAACCATCACATATCACCTTAAACAAACATTTTTCCTTCACCACCATCAATATACTAAAACATTCCACACTTATACACCCACACCCCTTACACTCAAAACTCCTACCTCCTCTCAGTCATCCACGTCCATATTGTATCCAATACCATACCCCAACTCCCCCCAACCCCCATCATCAATTCAACCAATAATCCCTTTTCCCCCCTCAATCCACCCCCCAAATCTTCCTCATCACTTCAATAATATCCTCTCATCATTCCCTCACCCCTTCCCCTACAATTCCCCCCCTCCCTACTCCATATATCCCAACTACCCATACACCCACTACCCATAAAAACTATTTCAAGCCTAACTTCCATATCCACCACACATTAACCCCCCAATCCTCCCCCTCCACTCCCCTATCCCTCTACTCACCCCCCCCCCAACCTCCCCCTCCACCACCCCCTCATCATCAAATCCCCCATCATCACAACCCCCACTCATCATCCTTCCACCCATCATTCACCCAAATCATCAACATATTACTTAACACATACATCCACAATCTTCCCCCACCTACCTCCCATCTCCCCCCTCAATAAACCCCTCCTCCTCATCCCGCCTGCCCCCCTAACCCCATAACCTCCTCTTATTAACCAAATTCCTACATCCTTACCCCAAACCCCCCCCTCTCCAACCCATCACCCCCACTTGCACCCTTAACCGCCACTTTTTTCAATCTATTCCCTTAATTATTCCATCCCAATTCCCATACCAACCACTCCCCCTATCAACCTTTAATATCACTACCATATCCCCTACCCCTCGCCAAATTCAATCCGTTTACCATTTATACTCCCACAACCAATTTCCCCATGAAAATAGATACCCCCACCACGATCCCACATCTCCTCTAAATCATCCACTGCTAACATACCTCTGCTCTTCCCCCCCCTCTATCCCTCTATACATCCCCAAATCACCCAAAAAATCATCTCCTTCTTCTACACATAACCCAACATACTTCCCTATAATAACCCCCATATCCTCTTCCCCAACTATATCCTAAATCACTATAATTTATATCTATCTCCAAACTACAACAATACACCCCCACACATCCAACTCAGAATCCCTCTTTATTCCAATATATACATATTCTAACCCCCATACACCAAAAACCACACCTAACATCTCCTCAATCACCTACCCAAATCACCCCATCCCCAATTATCTACCCCATTCAACCTTACTCCATTATTCTTTCCATTACCCAATTAATCTCCCCCCCCCTTATTCTCTTTCTCCTCTCCATCTTCATTATTCTCTATTTCATATCCCTATCAATTATAAATTCCCCATCAACATCTAAAATCCCCTTAAACCCCAACCCACCTCCATTCCCTTTTCTATATACCTCTATTATATTAAACACACTCACATTTACCAAAAAATACCCCCCCTCACACTCCTCACTCACAACATCCCATTTACATCTCTCCTACCCCATTCCTTATTACCTACCCCACCATCCCATCTTCCCTTACCTCCCCCATTCACTCTATCCCTTCCCACCCCTATACCCATCCACCCACCCCACCTACTTTACCATCACTTCAACCACACACAAAACCCCTATCCCCCTAACACATCATTACAATTATTTTTCTAACAACAAATCCAAAATTTTAATATCTATTAAAAACAAATAATTAATCCCCCATAATATTTCCACAAACAACCCCCCACCACATTAACCTTTTCACTCTACCAAACCCAACCCCAACCATACCCTCCCTTTCCAAACTCCAAAATATCTAAACACCTTTAACTATTTAAACATTAACCCTATAAAACTTTAAAACCTACAACTCAACGCACACCATTCAAACACACACCTCTACTTTACCCTTCTCACAAAAAAAACCCTATTACTTGTCACCAATAACCAAAACCATTATTTTTTTCCTCCTCTATAAATTACCTATACCCACATATATCCAATTCACCAAAACCTTAATTCCCCCCCCCATCTTACTCCTCTACACTACTTCATCCTAACTACCCTCTTTCCACCATCCAAATACACCATCTAATGAATACATATTGAACATAAATTCATACAAATAATTAAACAACTCCTGCCATACAACATCCACCAACAACCCCCACAAAAGAATACCGTTCTTCCCCTTCCTCATACATCCCCATGTCCATATATTGTACTTCCCTTTATCTAACCCACCCCACATTAACCACTACATCCTACCATAACTTCTCCAGTAGCACAATTTATTTTATCAACTACCATCATCAAACTACCTCAACCTAATTCCCATTTAACCACCAATTATACAACCCTGATCGCCCTCCAACCCACATCATCCACCTATCATACACTCCATAACCATAATCTCTAATTCTTCCATATCTTTTCCTTATCTAACATCATAACAAATATACTCTCATACACAAATCTCTCAATACCACATATCCCACACACTACTTTCTTTACTATCCTCTCTCCTCACTATACTCATCCATTCTATCTCATCTATCTATCCAACTCACCCCTCCTCTCATTATCCATCTAAATACCTCCTCTCACTCTATTCCCAAACTATCATCCCCCTCTCTCTACACATCTTATCCCTCACTACACCACATCTTCTCCCTCTAACTACTAACATCTAACTCCCTCACTTACATTCTCTCTCCTCCTCTCTCTCTCACCCCAATCTACCCACAAATCCCTTCTCCCTCTCTCTATCCCCACACATACTATATCTCTTATCTCTTCACAATCCCAATCACTAAACTAAACATATCCACCACTCTCATCACCTCTCACCATACTATCTAACCATCTCTTATCTCCTCACTACCTTGATGTCCAAAGTAAATAATCAAATTAACAAACTTAATATATATTAATTATATAATACTATAATCAAAATTATCACTACCACACTTACATTTAACCAATTCCTATAATTACCCAATTCTAAATTTAATCCATTATAAATAAAAGTCATGCTTCTATCTCCAAACCTCCATGAAAGGAACAACTTTTCGACTAACACGATACATCTCCCAGAACCCCCCGAGACTCTCCTTGTAACATTCACCATACAGCCCCCAGATATGCGTTAACAATCAGCTTTTCAAAATCATAACAAATCTTCCCCCATTTTTTATTACCGCAAAATATTTTATTTTATATAAGCAACCTGCAGAATTGCATGATTAGATGGATACACTATTCAAATTTGTCATAGTCTTTATTCATTGTTATCTCACCAGTTATATCTTCCAAACATACCCCCACTCCCCCCACCATCTCCAATTAAAAGCGTATTAACTTTCAGATCCTTGCCCCAAGACATATCTCGTATTACCTATACCCACGATCACTTATCCCAGGCATGTCATAAGGATTTTCATACAAATTATGACTAAGATGTGTTCAGACCCATATACGACAGGTCAAATATCAAGAGTAGAATTTATAAACATAGTACCCCACCACACTCCACCAGCTATCTATTATCCGCAAATGGATTATATTCTAGCAAGTACTTGTACCATCCTGAATTGTTTTCCATAGCTTGATACGGCTTAATATGTGTTATTTTATAAACCCAAACTTCACACTACTATATATTATTTCCCACCCATGTTAACCCAACATGCATCTAAATACATTTGAATCCAATCCATTTATGTTTTCTAATAATTTTTGTTATGTAATCTTTTCCTTGTAAAAATATCCTTCCATTTAGAACAAGTGCAACCATAAATATTATTCTGAAAATATGTATACATTGCAGTAAAATCAAACCCACACCAACTACCTAACACTTTAATTTACATACCCCAGTTAACGACCCTGAACAATTAACAACATTTTTTATATGCACAAACAGCACATAATTTATTCAGAATAATACACATGCAACATGATAGTCTAACTCCATAACTAACTAATTTATTGATAAGTTTCTTTAACTGACCAACAGATTTTTTTAATAGAGGTATCCTGCTTGAATATAATCCACTAACTTCTCATTTCCTCCTCCCTCCGATGATGTACTTTGAGAGGATCTAGTTATATTTCAGCTTAACCATAAACCAATCTGTTTTTGTTAACGAAGTTAACTCCAAACTTGTAAATAATTAATCTAACCGATACAGTTGTCTAAACCAGTCACATATGTGCATAAATTGATCCCCACCCATATCACTTCAGGTACTTAACATTGATATGTAATTAAGAGAACGACAGAATTTATTGATACCTTAGATGTTCAGTGTCATTTACTCCAAAAAACCTTGAATCATAATACAATTTTACCATTTTCAACTAAATCAACATCTACGTACACTGCAAAGAAAAAAACCCCACCCCCACAAATACCACATATAAAGTTACAATTATCACAATTAATTACTCCGCCATCCTTCAACATAAAGCATCAAACAATAAGATGTTACGATTGTGTATAAAAAAAAACCACCAATCTATCCTCTACAGGACCCATATATTCAATCAGCCTTGCCAGTAACCGAACCCAATGCTGATGCAGATGTGAGAGTCTGCTATGTCCTCAGAAACCCCAAACACTCTGCAAACGCCATCTTAACCCATTGTCCATCCCCCACCCATACACACAAGACTGTATACACTAAATTACATCTCCATTACTACCGTACCTCTATTTAATACCTACCAATACACTACATAAAACATACCCTCCCACCCCACCAAAACCCCAACACCAAAATACACAAAAATCCCCACAAACCTCCCCCACATTAAACTCCCCCCCCCTCCACCATCCACATCAACACATCCACCAACCCCCCCCCATACACCTCCCTTCATCCCAACAACCCCCCCCCCAATCAACCCCCCCCCTATCCACCCCTCCCCTCCCCATACCCCCCACATCAACCCTCCCCACCATTACCTCCTAACCATAACCTTTCCCCTCTACCACTTTTTAACATATCTCATACTACTATACAAACACCCCAAATTAACCCAAAACCTTCAAACATTTCTCCTCCTCACCATACCACCCAATCCCCCCCCCACCTCCAAATCCCATCATTTACCCATCCTACATACAAACCAACACACCACTCTCCACCACCAAACAAACACCCACCACCCAAATCCAAAACAATTACCCCTCTAACTATATATCACTCTCTCATTAAATCACTCTATCTCTAATTCATCTCTTTCTCAAACTATCTAACATTCAATCTACTCTCCTCTCACTCTCTAATTCACTCTAACTTTCTCATTAAATCCTTTCTCACATTCTATAACTCTGCTCTTTCTCTACAAACAATATATCTTTCACACTCATTCAACTATCACTCTTTCTCTCTCTATCTCTCTCTTTCAATCTCTATTACTATTTATCTAAATCATTCAATCTATATATATCGAACACTCATTCACTCTTCTCTCACACTCATTCATCTATCTCTCTTCACTCTACTTTACCTCTATCTCCCTCCATCCCCTCTCTATCATTAACCTCTACACTCTCTCAAAATTCACTCTCATCAACACATTCAATAAAATAAATATACCCTCTAACACTCCCCCCACTATCACCATTCAATTCTCCCATCACTAAATCCATCCTAATCAATCAAATCATCCCCAAATCCTCCCCACCATATATTCCCCCCTTCCCTCCTTCACTATATTATCAATCATCCCTAATCCTCACCCACCCAATCTTCCCCTCGCCCTCAAATCCATACTCTCATTTAACCAAAATATAACACCTTACTACCACATCATACCACTATTCATAAACTCCTTCCATCTTATCACCCCCACATTTCAACAACAAACCACCTTCCCTTCCTCTTACCACCCCCAAATATCACCTATCCCCCCATACCCCCCCTTAGTATACACATTCTAAGATACCTCATTCCAACATCATCCTACTCAGAAACGTACACATCACTTCTTAAACCCCCCATAAATCTCCCACTTCACCAATATAACCCATCCCACCCACTCCCAATCTTCCCCCCCACATCTCCATACCCAACATTAAAAAAAAAAAAAACCCCTACCACATACCCCCCCAAACACCAGACCCAAACAACATATATAACACACAATAAACACAACACTACACCAGAAAACCTACATACACTTAATCCACACTACACAATAAACCATTACATACATCCCAATCATACCTTCCCTTCCCATGTACCAACTTTAGCAAAACCACAAACACCCTCAACCCAAACCAATCGTTAGTTTCCAACCTTATTCCTACCTATATACCCCCAACCCACCTCCCCACCCAACACACCCCAACATACCCCACACACCCCCACCCCCCTACCAATCCAATTACTATCCATTTCCCACCATAATTAACCTCTCAAACCTACATTCTAAAATTATCTTTCCTTTCTTACCATCACTTCCTCTACCCATTAACATACCTTACCTCCTTAACATATACATACCCCCACTCACATACATCTCACCTTACCCCCCCAATAACCTCCTAATCATAACTTCTCTCTCATAATACCCACCCCAATACCCCCCCAAACCACTATACCCCCCCCCACCCCCCTCGTCCCCGTCATCCCCTATTCCCTCTCCTTCTTCATAACAACATTAACCTCCCCTTCCCACCACAACCAAAACCCACCCTACACACTCCCAAACCCAACACCACTGCCACCCCTCACAATTACACTACCCTACCCACAAAATATTACTCACCCCCCAAATCCCAAAACTCCCCACATATTACCAACTCCATATTACTCCACCCCCCCAAAACCATAAACCCATTCCAACCTCAATCATCATCCCAACACCATCAATCACCCTAAACCCTTATCACCCACTAACCACCCCATACACTCTCGACCTCTCCATCCTAACAAAAACTCCCCCTACTCCTCCAAAAACTTCCCCCCCCCTTCCCCACACCACTTCCCCCACCATTCTTCCCCTATTAATCCACCCCCATTACACCCACCAATCCAATCCACCACCAACACCACCCCACATCTCCTCTCCTTCACCACAAAACCCGACATAATACATCCTCATACATCTCAATCCACAACAATTCTACAAATACCCCAAAAAAACCCCCCCCCCTATTACCATAATAATATCTCCAAAACCAACCCACCCCAATATATCCATACACAATCCTCACACCCCCTAACTAAAATCTATTCATCCCATCCCTAACAACCCCCCCCCCATTCCCACCACCCCCCTTATACAACACCAAAAACCCATTTTACCATTTTCTCTTATATACCACTTATTCCCAACCAAATTCCCCAAACACCACTTAAACCCCAAATCCCCTTAAATACATCTACATCTAAAATCCACAATTTCATCTTCCATACAATAATAAACCCACAATCTTCCACCCAAACCCCAACCCATCAATCCTCCCCACTTCACAGCCATATATCCTAACTACCCTCAATTCCAATACCACCCGATATTACAGACACCACCCTAATACTATATACATAAAAACAAAATTTAGTATATCACCTCCTTCCTAATACTAACATACATCCCCAATAAACCCCCATCTCTACTACCCCCCTACCCCTCCCACCCCACTACTACCACTCCAGTCTCTCTACCTTCACATAAAACCCCACACCATCTTTCAAAAAACCCACAACTATTCCCAAAAACCCACCACCACTTACCCCCCCAACTTCACCCACAACTACACCGTATATGATACCCCCCCACCTATAAAACCCCATACATACCATATCCCACCCCCCCACATCCTTTAAAAAATCCAATTCCATAATCCCTACACCCCCCCCCCATCCTATTAGAACCATCTATCATTCTTCGTTTTACCTCAGACCTTATAGTTTTGCAACCGATATTCCATGAAAAATAACTTTCTTAATCTCAACCCCATAATATAACTGTTCTCCTGATCATTCACTACAAAAAAAAAAACCAATAACACCCTTCTTCACTCTAACCAACTCAACTAATTAACCATACATCCTTACACAATTATTACTTCCAATCACTATACTTACATTTCTTATATCCCACAAACATTCACGTAGACGCCACTCTTTTACTTTATCAAACCCATCAGACCCCACACTACAACCCCAAAATTAATCTTTGGATCTCCTCATATCCCCTATTTCTCCCAATTCCATCATAATAAAATAACCCCTCCTTACTCACATTACTTACCACCACTCATTAATCACCCCTACCATACCCCACCAACAAAACACATTTCTCCTTACCAATCCCTACATCCCTTACCACACTACCCCTATACCCCCAAACTCTCACAACAATAATCCACAAACTAAATATATATATTACCCCCAAAAAACTAAACATAAATCCAATTCCATCTAACCTCCCTATAAAATTACATATAGATTCATACCCTCATTATATTTACTTACTAATAACAAATACACCCATACCCCTCCCCCCATATTATACCCACCCCCTAATACCTCTCTTCCTACCTTACCACCCTCCAACTATTCACCTCCCATTCACACTAAAACCCCCCACACTAACATTAACTCACCCACAACACACCATAAATACCCCAATAAATCACCCAAACACCAATATCACCCCACTATTATTTACACCCATTCACCAATTTCCCTTACCCAAAAACCAATTTCTCACCCACACCTCCCCACAAAACTACAACCATTACCCCCACCCCACCTTTCCCCCTCCCTACATCAAAACACCACTCATCTCCTAACCATAATCAAAAAAAATATCCCTCTATTAATCATCAAACCCTTTCCCCTCCCACCTCCATTCCATCATCCCCCATATCAAAAAACAATTCCCCCCATCACAAAACCATACTACCCACAATTCTTCCCCCCCCCTCTTTCCCCCAACCCCTTCCAAAACCACCCATCCCTACCCCCCCCACCCCCATTCCCAATATCCTTCTCACCCTATACCTCCCATCATCTACCTATACCCATTAATCAACCCCAATTCACCCCCCCCCAAACCCTCCCCCCACCTTATTATACCAAACATTTGAACCACATCCCATACTTACCAATTCAAACTCCTTCCACATACAAACAACCCCACTCCTCATATCTACCCCAATCCTCCACATCATAAAAAAAACACACCATCTCACCCTACACATACAACCATTAACACCCATCTTCTCATCTTATCAATCCTCCCTCCCTACTCAACCCCCTCTCTCAACCCCCCCAAACACCAATATCCAACCAACCAATACCCATCAACCCTTAATCACCCACACCCATACTCCCCATGCCCCTTTACCACCCACATCAAATTACCTTTCACCCCACTCACCCTCCTTCATCCCCTCTCACCTCACATTCCACAAATTTACACATACTTACCGATTTCAATATAATCTAACACCATCTACCTATCCTTTGTCCTTTTCTCACTCCATTTTCTCTCTTCTCCTCTCTATCAACACCTTATCAACCTCCCCCCATACTAATATCCCCTACCCCCCCCCTCACATCTTCACCAAATACAAAATCTACATCCACCAAACACCCCACACACAATTAATTATAACACATTTAACTATACTAATTAAACCCCTATAACCTCCCAAACACCACCCATACACACCAACACAAAACACAACCACCACCCCCCCACCCACCCATATTAAAAACCATAAAACTATTACACTCCACCCCCAAACCCCTATCCCCCCAATATTAACTCCAACTTCCAATAACTAAATTACCTCATATAACCCCACCACCCTCAAATAAAACACACAAACAAACCACCCCACACCTTATTAAAATACCTCTTACAAAATAACCCCACAAACCAACTATCACTACCCATCATACAACCCCATATCACCCCCATCCCCCCCCACATCATCCTTACCACAACACCCCCCACCTATCATCCCCCCAAATCACAACCCATTACACCCCATAAACCCCCTCCCATTATCCCTACACCCCCCACAAATACACTACCCAACCCAAACATTACTTCAAAATCCCCCCATTCCCCCACCCTTACAAAACAAACCCCCCATAAACCATACCATACCCCACCCACCAAACTAAAAAATTATAACCACAAACCCTAAAATAAAACCCCTACCTCATACAAAACCCCCACCCAAATAACCCATTCACACTAACCCATACCCCAACCAAACAACAAAAACCCCAATAAACCCCCCAACCATACATATCAAACCCACCACAACCAATAAAAATAAAACCCCCCACCCCCCCATACTTTCAAACCCCTATAAAAACATACCCAAAAACCCCTACAAAATAACCCTATCCTTACTCCTAATTTACCCCTACCCCATTCACCCACTCCCCCATCCATACCCTTCTTTCAACCCTCCCCCCTCCATATTTCAAACATACCCCCTCCCCTCAACCTTCATCTTCTTTATAATACCCCCCCTCCCTCCCCCTTTTCTACTCTCCAATTCTCTCACCTTACAACCCCCCCCTTTCCCATAAACCTCCACCTCCCATCAACCAACTTCCTCCATCTCTCATACTTAATTAACAAACAACTCCTCCACCCCATCCTTTCCCCATTCACCCCCCATTCCTTACACCCAAAACATACCAACCACCAAACCCCCAAGATCAATAAGCCCCTACATTACATTTTCATTATCATCATATGTCACCCAACAATTCCCAATCACACACCCACCCAATTCCCACCCCCTCCCTTCCCCCACTCCACTTAACTCTATCTCACACCATTCAATATCCACCCCATTCTCCATTAATCATCCCACAAACAACCCCCCCCACCCTCCTCCCCCTTCATCCAAAAATCTCCTTTATTTCCTACCTATAAACCAACATCCATCCCAACCCCCCTCCACCCTTCCTCCCTATTCCCCACCTTCCCCCTCACCCAATCCCATTTCCTAACTCTCATCCATCCCACAATCTTACATACCCCTCCATACACATATCCCCCCCACCACCTATCTCCTACACCTCCATTTACACCCCATTCCCTAAAATCACAAATATCTGACCAACAAAACCCCCTCTCCTCTTTCCTTATATTAATCCCCACATCCCCATCCCTCAAACCCAACCTCCCTACATCCATTTCACCAAATCCCAATCACATTCCATACCCCCCCAATCTTCCCCCCTCCATATACCTCCCAAAACCCTCCCTATCCCAAACCCTTCCCTCCTTCTCCCTATCTTACAATTCCACCATCCAATAATTCCAACTCATTCTTATATTATTCTCCCCCTCCTTTCCCCCATAACCCACACATCCCACCCCCCTACCAACACAACCTCCCTTTCCTCATCCCCCCCCCCACCTTTCACATCCCCCCACCTCCATACTCCCCTCCTATTATCCCTTATCCACCCCTCTAATCACACACCCCCCCCAACTCACTCCCCTCTCTCCAAATAACACCTAACACCCACATCACTCTCCATCTCATTCCACCAATCCCCCCAACCACTTCCCATCCAACTCACCCCTCCTTCCCACAACCTCCCACCCCTCTTTTCCCCTTTCTCATTCCCCCATCCTCCACTATAATAATTTCCCCATATCCATTTATCTAGACTTCCAACTCATCCTTCTCCACTCCCCTACACCCCAATCTCATCCTTACCAACCAATCAAACACCCCACTAAACATACAAAAAAACCCCAAATTCCCCAATACAATACAAAACATTTCCCTCCCTTTATATCCTACTATCACCCACACCCCCCCCCCTTCCTTTCATACCCCTACCAATCACCTCTTATCACAACCCCCCAACCCCACAATCATCCACCCCCATGTAATATTCCCTATATTTTTACCTATACCAATTTTTTTCACCTCCCTTCTTCAATACCACACCCATTTATATTCATCATCAACAATCAAAAAAAAAACAACCATAATCCCTTTACCTCCCGCCCATTACTTCAACATCTTATCATTCAGATTATCCCTCCAATCCACCAATCATACCCTCCATTCCATTACACATGGCCAGACACCCATCCTTGCCTTCCTAAAATTCCTCCCCATCTTCCCATCTACAACTTCATTGATAGGCCCAACAACAACCACTGACCAAAAAGCCACCCATCCAACTCCCCCCCCAACACCCCCACCCAACCAAACCCCAATAATATATTAAACACATCCATAAAATACAACCAACCTACTACCCCTACCCCCCTACCATTCAACATTTAACCCCCAACATCCCTTCCATACCCCCTTCCCCCCCTTACCCCACAACCTATACATATATTATATATCCTCCAACCCATCCAACTCTCTTTCTTTAACCCCAACCTCAATACACTTTTTCATTCTCCCCCCCCCCACCCCACGATCAAACTTCATACTACCCCTTCTCTAAAATCACCACCCCTCCACTTTAACATATCCCCCCCACAACTATAAACTTCAAATTTCTCCCCTTCCCTCCTTTTCAACCAACCTTTCCATCTCCCCCCCCCCTTCCTTCACATCTCATTTCTCCCCATCCCCCCCCCCTTATTACTCCCTTATTCCTCTTATCTATTTACCCCCCCCCCCTACACACTCCCCCCCCATTAACTCCAAACTTCCCTTTCTTCCCCCCAAAAATCCCTCTCAACTTTACAACTCTTCCTCTTCCCTTCCTCTACCCCTTATTAACCCCTTTCCCACCAAACATTACAAATACCCCTCCTTACCCCCCCAACCCCCCTCTTTACCCCCCATTCCCCTTTTCTACCCCCTTACCCCCCCTATACCATACTCCCCCCTACACTTCAAACCCTTCCACCCTTCCCTCTTTTCAAACAAACCCCTTCCATTTCTCCCCTTCCTTCAATCTCTTTCTCCCCCCTCCCCCCCCCTTATTACTCCGTACCTTCCACTATTATTTACCCCCCCCCCCCATAACACTTCCCCCCATTAACTCAACAACCTTTCTTCCCCCCCCAAACATCCCTCTCCACTTCTCACTATCCCTTCCCTCCTTCCTCTCATACCCCTTATTAAACCCCTTTCCCCACCCCAAAATTACCCAAATACCCCTCTCTACCCAACCCCCCTCTTTACTCCTTTCCCCCATTTTCTACATTTACCCCTCCCTCTCTACTCATTTCCACATCCCTAATAAAAAACCCCCCCAAAATTCTCACATAAACCCCTTCCCCCCTCCAAAAATTCTCCCCCATCCCCCCCTATACAATATTCCACCCTACCCCCAAAATCCTCCTTCCCCCCCTACCCAAAAAATACAAACTACCATATTATACACCACCAAAACCACCTCCCAACCTCTAATCCCCATCCTCAATCTACTAACTCAAAATTACATATCCTCCATAAACCCCCCCCATAACCTTACTTACCATTCACTATACCCCCCTAATAATATAATCACCCCTATAACATCAAACACCTATTACCCCTATATCCACCCCCACTTACAAACCTAACCCCCACCATTCCTCCCTCTTCCCCCTTAACATTCTATCAAACCCATCACATACCCCCACAACCCACCCTCCTATACCTCTTCAAATCTATAAAAACAATTCCTCATTTCCATCTACCCCATCTAACACAAAAACCCCTCTACCATCAAACCAACCAACCTATCTAACAGATCTCACTCTTCCTCCCCCTACTACACATAATTACTCAAATTACACCTTCCATCCTTAATATTGTAACCCAACCCCCCTACTCCCCATCACCCCCCCCTTCCACCCATCATCCATCATACCTAATATACCCAATTTCCCTCCCCAACCCCCCCAAATCCCCCCTCCCCCCATCCCTCACACTTCAATCACCCCCTCATCTCTCCTCCTACCCACCATATTCCACCCCCCCATCTCTTACCTTATCTTTTCATTATCACATATCCAATTTATTACACACATTAATCCCCCCCCCCCCATCCCCCTCCCATTCACCCTTTACATTCATTCATAAACAATCCTATCAAAATCCCCTCCATATCCTACACAAACAAATACCCTACCCCAACACTCCACACAAACACCAAATTTACACCCATTCCCCCCCCTACACCCCAAATCCCCCCCCCTCCTTACATATAACCCTCCGCTTTCCCTCCATTCCTTTCCCTCTTCCCCTTCACATCCTACCCACCTAATCCCTCCCATCCACCATAATCAAACAAACAAACCAATAAAATCCTCCAATCCCCCTTACCTCAATAAAAAACCACCACCTCCCCCCACAATCCCCACTACCACCCACACTCCAACCACCCCAAAACCTTTCCCAAAAATCCCCTTCACCCCTTCTCCCCAAATCTTTTCACCACCCTTATTCCTCCTTTTAACACCCTTCATATTCCTCCCACCCATACTCTTATCCTTCTTCTCCCCATACACCCCCCCACCCCCCCATCCCATTACACCAACCCCTCTACACCGCCCCATACACCTATATCTTATTATTCCCCCCTTACCCCCCATCAATAAATACCCTTTCATTCTCAATTACCCAAACTTCCACTTCCACAAAACCTCCCAACTATTTCCAACCATAACCACATAACCCCACCCAAAACAAATGGCACCCCCAATCCACTAAAAATCCCATTTCCCCATTTACTTACCCCTCTCAAACCAAATCTTCTATTTTATCCTCTTCCATTAACCCATCCAGACCCTGCATACATAAATTTTTTCCACCAACCCCTCCACCTCCCATCCAGTACCATTTCCTCTAATCAATTACTTTACCCATGACCCTAATCGTCAACTCTCTCCCCTATAAGATAATATGTCTCTTCTCCCCCCTTATCTCTTTACCCTCTACATCACCTATCTCATTCAATCCTCCACCATCTTCTCATATTATTTATTAACCTAACTCTTATATACCTCCTTTTCCCTCGTGCCACTCTCTCTCCTCCCACCCATATACAACTGCTTAAACTCTTAACACCCCCACCTTATAATAGAAATCTTCCTCCTTCTTCCCAATCATTTCACTTCATCTTTCCCCAAATCCCCTTAATCCCCCCCCCCCCCCCCCCCCCCCCCCCCCTCTCCCATACCCCTCCCATCCTTTTGCTTAACACATCTTATATCCCAAAACCACTCCTTTACACCGTCCTCCCCCTTACACTTCAACCCCTCATCTACCAAACCCCTTTATTAACCACCCAACCCACAAACTCCCCACATTTTTTTCCCAAAATTTCAACACTCTCTTTATTAATTCCTAATCCCCTACACCACTACCCCATATTACACATCTTCAACTACACTCCCTCTTCCTATCTCCATTATCCCCACTTCCATCCACATCTTTTCCACATTATTCCTATCAATACTCCCTACCTTAAACCACCCCCTTCAATCATCTCACACTCCATTCTCCTTCTCTTTCACTTTTCACACTTCTTCCCATACTTATTCTATCCCTCCTCCTCCTCCATACCACACCCTTTGCAGCCCCCTCTCCTCCTCCACCACCACTTTTATCATTTTCATTTCCAAAACTTCTCTGATACTTTCTCACTCCCCACAAATACAATCACCCCACAATTCTCTCCAATCCTTACCTATCTACCCACATTTAACCCCCTATTAATTCCCCCATCCTTATTACCTTCCAGTATCCCCTCATTCCATACACCACCTCCCTATGTTACAAGCCTTTCCGCGCTTCCTAACAGTCCCCCCCCCTTTCCACCCTACACCCACCACAAGTATTAGTACCACGTAACCCTCCCCCCTCATTCTACCTTACACTGTCCCCTTTCTTCGCTCAGTTCAGTTTTCACCCCCATAACATCCTATCTGTCCCCTATGTCTTTATTCTCTATTCTTCCCATTCATTATCAATCATGAGAAACCCTGACACCCCCATCTTACCATACGTTTGGTCCCCCACACCTTCTTTAGAGTACACTAAGTACCCGTATATACATGTAACCCCTCCTTATTGTTCCCCAGACAGGCACCAACTACCCCCCTCACTCCCCCGCACACATTGCCATTGTGCGTACGTCCCTGAGGTTTTAGTCAATATTAACCATTAAGTCTTCTGTTGTTCTGCTGGCTAGCCTCGGCCCCCGTAGCGTTGCCGCCCTGGGTGAAAAACCGCCGGGCCCCACTTTGTATGCCCCCACGCTTTCGATGCTCCCTTGTTAGACTTGCGAAAGATGTGTTACGAGAGTGCCTGTGGCACCACTCGTGTGTCCTGTCGTCTACAGGTCCACTGATTACCACTGTTCTTAACTCTTACCTCACCCTCATTCTCTACTTCTCTTCTTCCCCCCCACACTCTAATAACATACCAATTGCACAGGACGTTCCCCATCACCTGCCACGGCCGTTCGTCACCTTCCGCTGGGACGACTTGGGTGCTTGCAGAGCCCCCTGTCACATTCGCCCAGTCCTCCATCTCGTTTGACTGCCCCTTGTCACATCCCTTTTCATACCCCCCCTTTTACCTTCCTACCACTTACCAAATACCCCCTTCTCCTTTTAACTTCTTCCACAACACACCACAAACCACCACCACCCTAATAATAATATATTTCACTTCCCCACCAACCCCCCCCTTGCCTTTTCCCCCCCATAACCTCTTCCTTCCTAACCCCTTTATCCCTCTCCATACTCTACTCCCCTCTTTCTACCCACCCCTCTCTTCCATTCTCCATATCCTTATTTCACCCTCCTCCCTCCTAACTACACACCTCCCCTTATTTCCTCCCCTTCCACTTCTTATCATTTTACCCTACCATAAATCCCAATCTCATAGTCCTCTATTATATTTTCCTCTCCTTTCATCCTATCTTCTTCTTATATACTCTCCCCTCCTTTCCCTTCCCCACTTCACATACAACATCCCACCCTCACCATTATACACCCCCTACACCTACCCCCCCCACACCCTTCACACCCCCCTTTCCACCCACCTCCCTCACTTTGTCCACCCCCTATTCGTCCCAATTCTAAAAATCCTTTTCTTCACACTAATTCCTCCGTTCCCTCTCCTCCTCCCCACTACTCAATCCTACCATTAACATCTACCCCCTCTTATCCTACACTACCCTTTACTTAATTATTCTTTTCTATCTATTTCAACAATACAAGTGATATTGGCCTGTCATGGTCCAACCAGCGTTTTAACAATCCCTCTAGGACAATTCCCTACAGCCTCCTTCTTGTTTCCCAACACATATAACAACAGTTATCCCTTTACTCTCCAACATATCCCCCGACATTACCTCCCTCTCCCACCATCCTTTTCCCCACTCTTCATTCATACTAATCACCCCTTCCCCTCGTCTATCGTCCTTTCCCTTTTCCCGACACTACCTCTTTTATCAACTTCTCCCCCCCCCACTCAATTACATTATTATTTCCTTATATACCCATAACTTTCCCATCACAGCCATCAATCCCCAAACTACAAATCCCTCCACTCTATATCCCCCCCACCTTTACACAACTATTACTCCACCCCATTTCACCCCCTCTTTATCTCCTCACATCTCCATACCATTCACACCAATCTTAAACCCTTTACCCTATACATACTTCCTCCCCCTCTCCCACCACCTTTCCCATCCCCATCCCACCTTTATTTCTAATTCTACACATATCCACCTTTCTCTACCTTTCTAAACTTACCATCCCCCTCCCTTTCTCCCTCACTCCCCACTCCCCTCTCCTCTCCCATCTATTAATCCTACCTTCCCAGCTCAATGAACCATATATCTTTCACCTACATCACCCCACACAACCCCCCTTCTCCCTCATATTCCATATCCTATATCCCCCCAACTCCCTTCCATTACCTCTACTCCACCTCCGAACCCCCATTTTACACATTAACTTATACCACTACCCCCCCCCACACAAAAAACCCCACACCTTACCCCTATTCTCCCTAGTAAATACACCCCCAAAAATTTTCCTCCTTTATATTTCAAAGAACATACCTTCCTTTATTCCTTTCCATCCATAAACCACACCTCCCCACTCACTTCCCCCTTATTTTCTTTCCATTCCCACTTTGCTTACTGTGTCCCCAATCCCTAATTTCTGTCTTCCCCACAAATTTATCTTTACATATCCACCCAACCCAACAACAACCCACAACCATTAGAATATCAATTTACACACTAATCTCCACATATTTTATGTTCTCTCTCGATACCTCTTTTTTCACCATCTTACAATCCTCTACCCTTGAATCCCCCCCTCATCCTGTTTTCCCTCATTTAACTTCAACCATCTTCACATATCTTTACTCTTTGACCCTCCTCACCTTTATACCTGCTAACCCAACCACCCCCTATTAGCTCAAATCTCCCTATACCCCCATATAACCCACTCCCCTCACCATCCCTTACCCTCCCCTTACAAAATTACTTTTGTCCACCCCCCACACTACCGCTCATCATTGTAACCATTCCGCTACTCCCCCCCCACCTACCACTAACATTAAATTCTTGGTCCCACCCAATTATCCCATCATTAAAATGACAAGTAATATCCCCACCTACAACAAATTAAGATACCCGAATCCCAGATTAAATATCCCTCTCAATGCTATTACAATATCAAACCTCAAATTATTACACCATTCAAACCCATAAACCAACCACACGTGAATTACTGTGTTCCGACCATACCCTCCCACTAATACATATTATATTCACTATAAAATATCTACCCTAGCCAATTGCTATACTATATAAACCCAGCAGCCACCTAACCCACACCCCTAAATAGCTTACCACAATCCAGTACTCAACCCCCTGGACGGCCCCTATTTATAGAGCCCCCTAAATTTCTCCAGGCGCTCAAAACACCAAAATTACATACCATGTGAGTTTATAGTTGTCAAACAAATAAATAACCTCTTTACCAAATATTAATCAGTTCTGCTTTTAACACAAATCTTACCATAAAACCCCTTCTTCCACACCAAACAATACAAACTACCACAAACAACAATATCCATACATCCACGAAAAAGACACACTGATCTCGTCCTATCCATTCACTTCCCGCAGCATTCTCACCAACCCGGTTAAATCATACACATTCTAAGGATATCAATATATCCAAAAATCCTTATATTATCTCATTCCACCCCCTAAACAAATCTCTACTCAACCTCAGTCCACCTCACATATCACATCCCCACTTTCATACCCCCATACATCCCAAAACCCTCCCAACCCAAAACACCCCCCAAACCACCATAATTCTACCTTCTTTTAGTCCACTCTCACCCCCCCCCCTGACTCACTCACCCTTCCCCCACCTTCCCCATCACTAATTATTCTGACCCATATATTCTGTCATCACACATCTATATTTCAATCCAATCACTAACCCCCCTATTTTCTAATTTCACCTTTTCTTCTACATATAAATCCCCTTATCCCCAACTCCATCCTAATCCTTTTTTATACTTATTCTCATTAGACTCTTTTTTCAATCCCCCCCCCCACCAACCTCCATATCCCCACCATCCAACCCCACAGCTCTACATACTCCTCAACTCCACCGCACTAAACAAACATCATAACAAACATTCGATACCACCCAAAAAATACCTATTACTCAATCCCCAATCTTCCCAACATACCACACCTCCAGCCGCTTTCACCCCATCTATTTATACATGCTTTTCCCTATCCAGTAAACATCACTCCCACTCCTAATCCCACGACTCCCAAAACATTTGATACCAAAAACACTCTCTAAGCACCACTATAAACCCCCATTAATCACTATCCTATCACATTGCATCACCACACCCTAGACTATGTCCCAAACCTACATCACAAAAGTCACCCATCTCCGTCTACCAATCGCACCAACATTCCCTAAACCCCTTTACCACCTAACAAGCAAACAACACACATTTAATACACCCCACCCCATTTAAATACACGTCAAAACCTTTAGTGCTTTCCGCACAACTTGACTTTCGCACCCACCAGACACTTTGACATATTAATCACCAAAGCGTGGTATATCTGTTGCACCTCCAGCCATCTCCTAAATTGTGGATACAACACTCACCGCCGTATTGCCCCCAGATGACTTCGAGACCGCGGACAGTGACCCCAGGGACACACCTTTACCTGTCCCCCTCGTTTAGAAAATTACTCGCGGGGGCAAAGTACCCTACATATCTGGCCCAATGCACAACCCCCGGTTTTACCTCTCCTCCGCTTCCGCACACTACAAGCTCCCATATTCTCCCGACACAGAAAAGGTGGTATTCCCGGGCCGTATGAATAGAATGCTCCCATTTTTTCCTATATCAATGTGATTTGACCACTTCCCTACTCTTCCAATGTGGAACCCCTTGTATTGTCTTATCACCCTACAGAACTTTCCTTGTCGCCCCAATCCCTGTTCCTAGTCATACATCCCCTCATACCTTTAACCATCCATTCCTAGCCATTGTTTTCACCGTCAACCACCTGTACCACGTTTGATTTCCATTTTTCCACCCTTTTCCCGGGGAACCCTCCTTATGAGACTTAGACACGCTTTTACCCCCATGACATCAATCTTTCTATTGCCCCAAGTAACCCACCGTGGTGACCCTCTCCTTCGCTGGACCCTCCTCCGTCGCTTCCACATCACGTGACCCTCCCCTTTTTAAACCCCCCTTTCCCCCTCCTATTTCTCCCATATTTTCCTCTCAATTTTAAATTCCCCCTCCCATACCTTCCATTTTCACCCCCCTTTTATTTCAAATCACCCTCTCCTCAACCCCTTCCTTTTATCACCAACCTTTTTCCTACCTCCCCCCTCAAACCTTTCCACCAACCCCCCTCCAACCACAACTTAAAAAACACCCACCCCCAAACTACCATCAAAACCCCCCCTCTTCTCATTACACCCCTCCACACCCCCAATTAAAAAAATATTAAACACCCCACCCCACACCCCCTTACAACTACCCTTTCCCACACTTTCCTACAAACAAACCATCCCCCCCCCCCCACCCTAAAAATAACCCATTATTTACCCAAATCCCTTTCCCTAACCCTCTTTCCCCACTCCCACCACCAAAAAATCCATTCCACCAAACCTACAACCCCCCCCTACCCACACTTCCCCCCCACCCCCCCACTAAACTCTTCCAAAACAAAACTCAAAAAAAACTCCAAACCTATCAACACAAAAATACACTCCAAACCATCCCACACCCATACCTCATAACTTACCACTTTATCTTCAACCATCCTTCCTTCCTATCTCAACCCCTTTCCCAAACCCCTACATACTTCCCTTTACCTTAAAACCACACCTCCTACCCCACCTCCATCTCCCCATTCCAAAAACCACTAACACTTTATCTCCCCTACCCCACCACCCCAAAACACAACTCCAAACCCCACCCCTTTAATCTCCCCATCTCCATTCCTTAAACCCCCCCCATACCCTACCCCCTCAGTTTTCCATCCACCACCCCATTTTATCCACATTCATCATTAAATCATTAACTTCCTCTATCCTATACTAAACTCCCCTACTAAATTCCCCATAAATTTCTCTTAACAACAGTCCCTACATCCCATACTCCCCTCCGACACACAACAACCATATTTAACTTTTAACCCACACCCACAAACTAATCCACCAAACCATCCACCACTCCAGTCACCCCATATACTCTTACTATTCATCTACCCATCACTCATACCCTACCCTATACTAATCCTTCACCCCATTTCCCACCCCCAAATCTTCAAAAATGGCCCTCCCTCCCCGATACCCCCACATTACTACATACACAATCATATTAATCTCCCTACCATTTCTTCATATTCCTATACACACCAAACACAAACACATCTCCCATACCACTCCCACTACTCTCATATCAAACACTAAAATTCATCTTCACTAACACATTCATCCCCTCCCCCCAACAAATTCCACCATTTACTTTCTACATCACCCATCTATTTATAAATCTTTCTTTCCACTCTTACATTTAACATTCATCTCATTCCCCTCCCAATAATCCCCCCTCCCCCACCACTCTATCCCTCACACCTTCTACCCCACCCTCACCCTTCCAAACCTCAACAAAACCCCATACCATACCCCTCTCATCCATCATCCCCCTCCCAAAAACACCTAATTCCCCTACCCTACCCATACCTCCATTCACCCCCCTACCAACCAACAACCTTACCCTTCATACCCTATTCCCCAAATCCCACCCCAACCCAACAACCTCAATCCCACACCATCCCCACCCCCCCTCTACCCCCATCCCTTAAACTCCCCCCCATCCCCCAACTCCCTAATTCACCCCAAAAACTTTATAATCCCCCCCCCCCTCAACTTACTCCCACCCACCCCCACCCTATAATCCCCATTCCAACCTACCACCCACCCTCTTTTATCCCCTTACCTTCTATAACCCCCCCATTCCCAATCCTTCTTTACATACTTCCTCCCTCCTCCCCCCCTCTACCCCCCCACAACACCCCCCTCCTCCTTCAACTAATTCTTAAAAACCACCCCACTAACCACCCCCCCCCCATCCACCCCAAAAATCTACCCCAACCCATATCCAATCCACTCAAACATCTTCACATTCCCTCTAAATCTTTCCCCCTTATTCTTAAATACAATCAAATAAACCCCCCTCACCCCACCCTCCCCCTACCCATCCATCCACACCCCATTAACCCTAATTCCCTTCCACCCTCCCCACCCAACCAATAAAACCTAACCATTCCTAAAATCCAATAAACAACCACCCTCCAACCAACCAAAACATCCACCCTAACACATCAAATACAACACCATCCCCCTATAAACCTACCCTTATACACCCACTACACCCTCCCACCCCAACAAAACATCAAATTCCCCCCCCCCCTATCCCACCACATAATCCCCCCAATCTCCCATCCCTCCCACCTCAAAATATCAGCATCCACTTCACCCTTCATTTCACTTTATCCTCTTTTTCCATTCCCCCACCAACACATCCCATACCCCCCCCTCCTACCCCAAACCTCCCCAATATCAAACCCCACCCTTAAATACATAACACCCCCCCCCCCCTTCCAATATCCCACCCCACCAAAATTACCCCCCCATACCCCCACACAATACTATTAACCCTTCCCTCTCATCCCCAAAAACAACCCCACACCAATATACCCACCCACCCACAACCTTACCAACCCCACTTAACCCACAATACCCCCCCACCCCCCTCCACATCAACTTAAGCCCAACCCAACCCCCCAAATACACTCCCAACCCAAAAATCCCATAAAAAACCCCCTCAACCCTCCATACACTATCCAAACCCAAATTAATCACCCAACAAACCCCCCTACCATAAAACCCCCCCCCTATATCCCCAATCTCACCCCATAAAAACAACCCTTTATAAAATAACACCAAAACCCATCCCTCAAAATCCTATAACCCAAATCCACCCTCATAACAACCACCAACAACATATTCACCCCCACTCCCACAACCACCACCATACAATAAACCATCCCCTCAAACAAACACCATCAAACATCAAAAACCCCTTCATCACACCCCACCCCTTCCCTCCTCACAACCCACCCATATCCCCAAAATCCCAAATACAACAAAATACCCACACACACCCAACCCCCCCCCCCCCAAACAATAATAAAACATTCCACTCCCCACCACCAACAAAACAAACAAAAATTACACCAAACCCCTATAACCCCCCCCCCACCTTCACACCCCAACACACCTCAACTCATAAATATCCCCATTATACAAACACCAACCCCCCCTACCCTCCTCACTAAACATCATTCACCCCCTCAATATTTCCTTCCTCCTCCCCCCTTCTCACTCCTCCCCCCTATCTCCCCCCTCCTCCACCCCCCCCCCAACCCTCTACCCCCTACCATCCCATCCCAATCACCCTCACCCCCCCCCCTCTCCCCCATTTCCACCCCCCTTTCTCCCCCCCCTATCCTCCTCAAAACTTCCAACCCTCCATCCCCAAACAAACTAATTCACCCCAAACCCACTAACAAAAATCCCCATACTATAATCTTCCCCATCTCTAAATCCCCTTACCTCCCAACCCACAAAACTCCCATTAAACCTTATTATACCTCACTCTATTTAACCTCACTCTCTTATTCATTTCACTCCCAACTACCTCCTAAACACCCCCCTAAACACCCCACCAAATCTACCATATCTCCCACCCACCCCAACAATCCTCCCCCCAATAATCAAATACTCCCATCCCCAAAATATAACCCTCCATAACACCCAATCCCTTACCCCCTCCCATCCCACCCAATATATAAACCCAAATAATTACCAAATACAACCCCCCCCCCAAAACCCCTACCACATAAAACTTTTCCCCAAAACATCCACCCCCATACCCCTAAAACTATTACCCAATATCCAAAAAAACCCCCATCTTTAACCCAATAAATTCTCCCAAATCCCCCATACCACTCTCAATATATCCCAAACCCCTCCACCCAATTCTCTTTCCTTACATATAAATACCCTATCCCTATCCCCCCCCCCTCCCAAAACCCCCCACCCCCCACCCCCCAAAACCACCCCCCCCATCTACTCCCTCCACCCTCCTATAACCCCATCATTACAATTATCCCATACACACACCTCATATCCCAAACCACCAACCCCAACTACTCCCAAACCATACCCCAAAATCCATACACTCCCCCCACTCATATATCCCCCCCCTTCTCCCCATATCCCCCTAACCCATTACACACATCACACACCCCCCTACACACATATAACCCTTCTACATATCTACTCCCAACTTAACAAACCCCTAACAACACCAACAACCCCTATAACAAACCCCCCCCCCCCTCAATAACATAACCCTTACCCCCCATCCCCCACAACCCCCCCCCCCCCCCCCCACTAAACCCCTCCCCCCCCCCCTACCCCCCCTAACCCCCAATCTCCACCATCCCCCCCTTCCCCCCCCAAAACACACAAAAAACCCCCCCCCCCACAACAATCCCCCAACCAAATCACACACTAAAAACCCACATACCACTACATACCCATCCATACAAAACCCCAAACCCCAACTACCCACCATCTATTCCAACATTCACCTCCCCACAATCTTACCAACCCCTCACAACATCCCCCATACCCCCCCCCCCCCATCCTTCCAATTTACCATTTCCCAACATCATCACCCCCTCAACCACCCTTCATCTCAATCCCTCCGAATCCTCCCATACCATCTCTTCTCCACAAACCAAAAATTTTCCCCCCTCCAATACCTACCAATCCACCCCCAAACCCCCCACCATTCTCCTCCTACTCCCTCCAAATAAATAAAAACCACCTATCAAACAAATACAAAAAAAACAATCACCCTCCCATTCCCCTAAAACCACCATATTCCTAACCCATCCCCTCACAATCACAAACCCAACATAAACCCCACCACTACCACTACCCCCCCCACCCCCTCCTACATTCCACCCCCCCTCCATATAATTCTTCTCCAAATCCCACCCATTCCACCCCCCCAACCCATCATCAAAATTAACCCATAAAATCCCTTTTCTCCCCTCTATCCACCCCCCCCAACTCTTCCTCTCATAACCTTCATTAATATCCCTCTCATCATTACCCATTACCCCCTACACATTCCCCCCTCCCTCCTACTCCTATTACCACACACCCCAACCCCACCACACCTAACAACACTCTTTTCCATTACTAATTTACTACCATATAAACCATCATTAATCAACCCCAATCCTCCTCCACCTCCCAACCCTATATCTAATATACCCCCCCCCCCACTCCCCCTTCCCCCTACCCCTATCATCAAATCCCCCCCCCCATCATCCCAACCCCCACCTCCTCTCCATCCCCCACCCATCCTTCACCACATATCCCCATCCTATTCCATAACCCATACAACCCACACTTTCCCCCCCTTCCTCCCTCTCCCCCCCCCCTCAATCCCCCCCCTCCCCCTCATTCCCCCCCTAACCCCATAACCACCCCTCTTACCCTATCCACCAACTACCCCCACACCCCCCCTCTCCCACCCATACCCCGTTCCCCTACACTCCCCCATAATATCTCCCATTCCCCAAAAATAAACCATCCAATCCCATACCACCCCCACCCCCTCTCACCCAATTAACTCACAACCTCTCCAACCCCCTCCCAAATTCAAATCCTTTCCCTTCAAACCCCCCACCCATCCCCCAATCAATATATCCCCCCTATCCCCCCACCCACCCCCCTCCACTCCCCCCCACCTTCAACCCTCCACCTCCCCTCTTCCCCCTCTAATCCCATCTCATCACATCAATACCCCAACAAAATCATCTCCTTTCTTCTACACATAACCAACAATACTTCCCCTATAAAAAACCCCCTATCCCTCTCCCCCAATATATCCCCTACACATCACAATACTTATACTCCTATCTCCAACCTACAACAAATACACCCCCCCACCCATCCAACTCATAATCTCACCTTATCCAAAAAAATCCCCATAATTCTACCCCATACCACCAAAAACCCCACCTACTAATTCCTCTCACTACCCACCAATATCACCATCCCCATTCATCCTCCCCCCCCATTCCCCTTACCTCCCAATATTCTCTCCCTACCCAATTCATCCTACCCCCCCCATATTTCATTCTCTCTCCCCTCTAAAATATTCCTCTACTTATCTCCTATCCCTAAACACTATCCCCTAAACATATCCCATCCAACATCCTAAACCATCCCCTTCAACCCCACCACCTCACATCCTTTTCCTCCATAATCCTCAAAAATACTATTCCACCCACATCCCATACCCCCCAAAAATCCCCCCTCCACCACCTCTCCTCCCAAATCCATTTACACCTCTTCTTCCCACTACCCCACTTTCCCTCCCCCCCCCTCCCATCTTCCCTTCCCTCCCCCCCATTCCACCCTCTAACCCTTCCCACCTATACCCACCCACCCCCCCCCCCACCATCCAAACCCTCACTTCACCCCACCCACAACCCACCCCCACCCCCATCCAAACAAATATCTCTCACAACAAATAACAAATATTCTCTCTATTCACACCACTACAAAAACCCCCCTAATATCCCCCCAAACAACCCCCCACCCAATAACCAATAAATTCCCCACCAACCCAACCATACCCTCCCCCATTCCCCAACCTCCCCATATCATCTCCCCATACACAAAAATACACTTACCCTACACCATACACCCCCACACCACACCTCACCCCCAAACACATCACCCCCCCCCTCTACATACCCTACACACAAAAAAAACCCCAACTACATACCCAAAAACCCCCAAAACACCCATTCTTATATCCCTCCACAAAAACCTATACCCCCTAAATCCCAATACCCCCCCCCTACACCCCCCCCCATCAACTCCTACCCCCCCAAATATCTAACCCCCCTCTTACCCCATCCCCCATACCCCCCCTCAAAAAATACATATTACATACATCAACCCCAAAATTAAAAACCTCATCCAACAACATCCACACCAACCCCACAAAATAACCCCCTTTCCCTACATCCACAAACCCCTCCCATTAACCCATCCATTATAACTCCCTTTTCCACCCCCATTTTCCCCCACACAAAAACACAATCACATAATCCCAACCTAAATTTCTCAAACCATCAACACAACCCACACCCTAATACCATACCCATTTCACCCCCTCACAATCTAAACAACCCCTTATTCCCCCCCCAAAAACCCACACATCAACCCCCCCCACATACAACACACCCCACAACACACAAACAACACACACCTATACCACACACACAAACACCCACCAACACACCCCCCAACACCCCCCACACAACACCCCACACACCCCAACCCACACCCAACAAACCCAAACACCACACACCCACACACACACCCCACCCACACAACACCCACCACACAACACACCTCCACACCCCCCCCCACACCACACACCACACCACACCCACCACACACCACCAACACCCCACACCACACCACAACACACCCCACACAACCCCCCCCACACACAACACCCACCACACCACCCCACACACACAAAACACACACCCAACAAAACCCCCCACACCCACAAACACCCACACCCACACACACACCCAAACCACCAACACCCACCTACACACACACCCCACCCCCCACACCACACCCACACACCCAACACACCCACCACACACCCACACAACACCCCCCCCACACCCACTCCCCCACCACACACACACATATACCCCCTCCCACATCCCTCCAAACAAACAAAACCACAACCCCACAAAAAAAACAACACACAACATCAAACCCACCCCACCCAAACAAAACCCCAATCCAACACCCCATCCCCTACAATAACCCAATCAAAACCCCCCCTCATCAACAACACCCACCACCATTCCCCCTTCCCCCCCCTATCGCTCACCCCCTATCCCACACCCCATCCCCCCCCTTCTACCACCTCCATCTTCCCCCCAAAATCCCCATCTATTCTACCTCCACATATTCCACAATACTAAACCCAAATCTCCCCAAACAAACCCTCCCAATAAAATAAATACACCAATCACCCCATATCATATCAAAATATAACCCTCAACCACAAATCCACTTCCAAACTACCATATAACCAACCCCTAATACATCCAAACATACCCCCCACTCCCCCCCCTCTCCAATCCCCTTACAAACTAAATACCATCCCCCCTCCCACCACTCCACCCTCACCCCCCCCATAACCCCCTCACCATCCACTATCCAACTAAACCACCCATAACTCCACCTAATTAATACCCCAAAACCTCCTTTAAAACCCACTCTCCTTCTATCCCCTCCTTTCCCCCCCACCCCCTCCCCCCCTCACACCCTCCCCCTTTCACAAACAATCCCATATCATACCCTACTACATAAAACCCCCCCAACTCATCTACTTCATAATATAAAAAAAAAACACCCCCCCCTAACCCCACCCATTCAATCATCCCCCACATAAACCCCATCAATTATCACACCACCATATACCCAAAACCAAACATATTACAAAAAAATTTACTTACTCAACAAAACCTATAAACCAAATCCAAAACTCCCCATTCACCAATAACACAACAACCTTTAAACATACTACCCATCCCCTCCCTCCCACCTAACCCCCCCAAACCCAAAACCCATACCAACACCCCTAACCTACCTACCAAACCCAATATAATCTCCCAACTCCCCACAAAATTACCACCACCCCCCTTCCCCAATAACTAACAACCCCAACCCCCAAATCACAATAACACTAACAATCCCCATCCCCCCGAAAAAAACATATTCACCCTCAATCCCTAACCACCAACCCACACAAAAACACCACCCACCTAATAATTATAATCTCTCTAACTTTAACCATACCATCTTCACCCCAACCACCCCTCATATACCTAACCCTCCCTAAAAAAATCAAAAATAATTAAAAACTCCACCCCTATAACCATATCAACACCCCTCCCACATTCTAAAATATCCAACACCCCCATAACCTAACCCGTTCCTAAACATAATACCAACCTTTCCCTACCTAAATAATACCCTATAAATATACATCCAAAACCTACACACCCCCACCATCTCCAAAACCCCATAAACCATTACCCCAACCACACTCCCCCACACCCCATCACCACTGTCCACTACCCCCCCCACCCCATCCCCCCATTACCCTACTCCCCAAACATAACTCCCTCCTCATGAACACCCCTATAATTCCACCCACCATATAACCATAACTAAATTTAAACCACACCCCACCACCACCAAACAACTCAATATTATTTTCCACTCCCCACACCTAATTCCAAACAATCACCTAATCCTCACTAACCCAATTTCATATATCATAATTCCTATATTTATTACACTTATAACCCACAACCTTATCAACCTCTGCCCAACATAACCTTTCCCTCCCAACAAGACCACCCCTTTACATACACTCCTTACCATATCCATTACACCTATCACTATTAAAAATCTTTACCCCTCTTCATCTACCATAAAACAGAACCTCCCACCAACTATACCACCATTAAATAATTACTATAATATATTAGTCCATAACCTACATACCCTATTATACTCACCCCCCCCTCAACCTTCCTCTTCCACCTCAGTACACAATACAACCAACATAGTCACATACGACGGCATTCACTAAAACAAACACACCAAAAAGCTAACCCAAACAAGTGCATCAAAACGCCCATCAAATTACCCACATCTATAAGCCCTCAATTTCCTCCCTAACCCATACACCTGCCTCTACACTTTTTAACCATAATCTCATACAATAACAACACCCCCCCAATTTTACCAACAACCTTAAAAATTCTCCTCCTCACATACCACCCAATCCCCCACCTCAAATCCAATCCCAATTACCCTCTACATACAAACCCCCACTCACACCACCCCCCCACACACACCACCCCCAAATCACAAACAATTACCCCCTCTCACTCTCTCTCACTCTCTCATAACTCACTCTCTCTCTCATTCTACTTACTTCTCTCAAACTTCTCTCACATTAAATCTAACTCTCCCTCTCACTTCTCATTCACTCTCACTTTCTCATTACTCTTTCTCACATTCTCTCTCTCTCTTTTTCTCACACACACTCTCTCTTTCACCTCATTCACTCTCACTTTTCTATCTCTTCTCTCTCATTCACTCTCTCTATACTCTTTCTCTCAACTCTTTCACTCTCTCTATCTATCACACTCATTCATCTCTCTCTCACACTCATTACTCTCTCTCTCATTCACTTCTCACTATTCTCTCTCTCACCTCCCTCTCTCTCATTTCCTCTTA